AAGCACGGAGGCAGGGTGGCCCCGGGCCCTGATGCGGCTGGCAGGGAGGTGGGAGGGGGGACAGCTTTGGGCACAAGGGGCGCACCCACGGCCTGGACACCTGGGGGTGGGGGCAGGTGGACCAGCTCGGCAGCAGGACATTGGGGTCAGAGCTCCTTAGACGCCAAGGGTTCTCCCTTTGCCTTAGCCCCCTGCTAGCTCCATCTGAGAGCAGGAGATGGTTCTAGACCGGGGAAAGGGGAGGAGGGGGGAGGGGGTTCTGACAACAAGCCCTGGACACGGCCCAAGAGAGCTTGTCAGGGCACGCCAGCCCCTTCCATTCCAAAACAAGCCGGCCTCTTCCCTTGGAGACGAAACCAGAGTGTCAGTGTCAAGGTCAAGCTCCCCGCCCCAAGCGAGAATGGGTGACTACCTCTGTGATTAACGCCTGCTTTGGGGAAAGGAGGTTTGGGGTTTCCCCGCCATTACAGACACTGAAGAACAGAGAGCCTGTCGCCAGAGGCTGCCCCCCCAACGCCAGTTCTCGGAAGGGGGCTCGCTCTCCTCAGCCGTGGAACCTGAACTTCTGGATAGTTTTCAGGGAGGGACGAAGCAGGAAGGTGGCAGCCTGAGCTACCAGACTCTGCCCAGACGCTTAACAACACTCAGAATGTGCCTGGGGCCGCTCTCTCCCCCAGAGCTGGGGGAGGGGCGGATGGCCGGATGACAGTGCCACCCCCCGTTGGGACACCCAGGGCCTCACTCGACGGCTCTGATGTGGCTTGCTTCCTGTCAGCTCCGTACGACGCCCCAAGGGGCCCATGATAAACAAGGCTTCGCCTTGTCGCCAAGACCCTCCCAGGCCTGCGGGGCAGACGAGGCAGCCCCTCAGCGCCCCTCACACAGGCTGGAGGCACGGAGTCCGGTGGGACTCAGGCAGGAAGGCTGGCTGTCCTCCAGCTCTGTCCCCGGAGGGCCGAGGACCAGGGTGGCATCAGGGCTGGTGGCACGGGTGTCCCAGGAGGAGCATGCAGTGCTTGAGCGGGCGGGGGGCTCGTGTGCACAGGCCGGGAGCCGTGGGCACGAGGCGGGGGCAGACGCCAGGCCCGGAGGGCACAGGGCACACGCGGGCGGTGGTCTCGGGAGAGAACAATAGGATCCTGTCTGCATTCTAGAAACATCGACCTGTGTGATGTGGGGCGTGTCGGGCTGGGAATGAGCCCGCAGGCCCAGGAGCAGGCTGCAGCCATAGTCCAGGTGAGAGCCAGGGGGACCCCCAGGCGCAGGCCTCAGAGAAAATGGGGCCGGCCAGGACCAGACACCCTGGCCCCTGCCTGGGCTGGGCGGGCGCGCCCCGGCCCCTCTCAGGTCCAGGGGATGGTTTCGCGCTGTTTCCCAAGACCCCCCTAGGAAGAAAGGCCTCTGCTTTCAGCAGCGGTGAGGCAAACTTAGCCAACGCTGACACAAGCCCTGCTCTGCAGTAAGCAGAGGCTGCCCCCCGCCCTGCCGCTCCCCAGCGGTTGCTGGAAACTCGCATTTCAGAAAGCCCTGTGTCATGGATTTTGACATTCCGATTACCAAAGTGACAACAGGGATGAAACAGCCGGTTGCTCAAGTCCTGTGGCCTCTTAGGGCCCACCCCCACTTCCCCAAGACTCTGGCCAGCCCCCTGGCTGGACTGGCCCCCAACCCCCATCTTCGGAGACCCCTTTCCTACACGGCGGGCAGGGGACGTGACCACCGACGGGGGCCGGGGGGCTGGCTCTGCCTGAGTACCCCCAGGTCTCCCCTTTTCCCCGAGAGGTCTCCCCTTTGTTCCCATGTACCCAGAATTGCCACATGCAGACTGTACGGAGAAGAAGGAGCTGGTCGCCAGGATCTGAGTGTGAAGAGGGGGTGGCACCGGCAGGCAGGGCGGGGGACAGGCTGCTGCCCTGCAGCATGGGGCAGCCCCCTGTCTGAGCCCCTGCCCCGCCCGCCTCCCCCTGCCTCCCCGCCGCCCTCCTCCCTGCCCCCCCCACTCTCTCTCTCTCAGTCTCGCCCTCGCTGGTGCGCTCTGCCCTCCTGGTGTCGGTGGTGACGATGACCAGGGGTGACTCCTCCAGAAGATGCTCAGCCCCCGAGACACCTGTCACTGAGGCGGGGGGGGGAAGTCACAAGGGAAGCGAGTTGAAGGGCTGAGGACATGGAGCCTGGACAAGAGGAGCAGGGGGTCGTGACCGCTGCCTTCGAAGATCCCCAAGGTCTGGGGACAGGCGTCCGCTCCACGGCAAGGCCTCCCAAAGCCACTCACTGCCGCCTGGTCCCACCCCGCCCCCCCCTCCCCACGAGCATCTCAGTCAGAAAACCGTAACTCGATTCGAAACTCGGTCTGCCTAAACCGAAGTTGGCAGGCTTTCTCACTCCGTGGACGGCCCTGGGGGGCGGGGGGCCCCCAAACACGCAGGCCCCTGCCCTCGGGGAGCTGACATCCAACAAGAAACCCGCCGAGGAAAAAACAAGAGGTCGTTCCCAGCGGGATGAGAACATAGAAGAGGAAGACGTGGCAGGGCGACCGCCAGGTGAGGTGGGGCGTGGGTCGGGGCCTCCCTGGGGAAATGAGCTCTGAACGACAAGTGCTGGGACGCGCCCGAGGATCTCGTTCCGGGCGACGGCGATGACAGGGTGACACCCACGTTCTGGCTGTGGGCGGAGGAGGGACGAGGGAGCAGGGTCGAGGGTCGAGGGCCCGAGCTCGGGGATGCATTAGGACCCCATTAGGAGTCCATCGGGCCTGATCTTTGATTCCTCGAGGAGCCCCAGTCCGACGGACAGCAGACCCCCAAGTAGACGTTTCTGATATTACGTCGCGGGAGAAAGAAAAGCAAAGGTGAACGAAATGTCCACGGGGACGTGGGGCGCAGCACAGCGGACGGAGCCCCCCGCACGGCAGTGATTTCAGACGGTGCCGGATGGCGCTAGACTAACGGGGGCTTCGCTTCGTGAATCACGTAGATGTCGGCCCGCCACACTGCACGCCTGAAACTAATAAAACGCTACGGCATGTATTTTATGAAAAGGGGGCCGATGAGCACGAAAGAGGCACGTTTCGTCTGCCTTGCCGGCGGGGATGGGGCCAGGCTGGCGGGGGTGGGGGGCGCCCCCACGTCCTGGGGCCCCGTGGGGTTACGTGTGTCCGTGTGTCTGGTAACGAGAGAAGTCAGAGACCCACGGGAAGCCCACTTCGCTTTCTTTCAAGTTTGGAGACTTTTTATGTTGGCCAAGTGACAATGACGCGTCCGTCCGAGGCATTCTTGCCCCCAGGGGACCTCTGGCCAGCCGCTGAATCCGGGTCCTCCTCCTGAACCCGCCGAGCCAGACAGTGGCGTCGCGACCCTTCATCGCACACTGACACCCTTGCCCAGAGGGCTCTGTCAAACCAAACGTCCCGGCAGGAGCCGAGAGCATGACAGGCAGGTAACCCCAGCGTCCCCGAGCCGAGAGCTACTCCGGAGGGGAGGTGGAGACGTGCGAGGGGGCGTGAGGGTGGGCTCCCTGGAGGAGGTGACACCGGGTGGGGCCTTCGTGGACAAATGGGAGTGCGGGGGCCGAAGAACGGCCCAGGCCCCTAGGACGCGTGACAATGTGTGCGATGAAGGGAAGAAGGCGCCTCAGACAGAGGACCCTGACCGGTCACCAGGCGCACGTCCGTGAGGCCTGACGGCTCGAGGAGAAACGGGAGCACGTTCCGGAACGGCTGGAGACGGGGGCTCACGGCGGCGGACGAGGGGTCGGCGGGGAGATGCTGGGGAGGACAGTTCTCGTCCTCACGTCCGTCGGCTTGTCTCGGGGCACGTGCCCCCGTCGGGGCCCTGGGCCGCGCGTTTTCACGGAGGGACTAGAGGGTGCTGCCCCGGACGGGTGGACAGACTGACATTCAGACGAGGAGGCCACCAGCCCAACCTCACAGAGCCGCGGAGACGCAGAGCCGGGGGGCTAACCACGCACCCCCCGTCCCGGGCTAGGGGCTCTCCTCCTTGCCCTGGCTGATGGATTTTGACCGAGTCTTTTGGGGGCCCTTGAACTTTTCCTAAGTAGGATTTAGGTTCCATCTGCGGTTGAGCTGGCTGTTTGGGAACCAAATCACGCCCGGGAAATGTTTTCAGAACAGCAAACCCACCACGGTTGGTTCTCATCGGTTGGCCGTTGTTTTCTACCGAATTCCAACGTGACCCCGAGTGTCCAAAGTGGTAGCAGATACATGTGAGAGCCTCAGGCAGGACGCCCGGTCCGCAGCCTGGTCTAGTCTGAGGCCTCTGGAGAAAGACTGGCCCTCGCTGCCCCTGCCAAACACTGGTCAACTGTCACTATCCGAGTTACCCCAAAAAGTGAGCTTGGTCTTTGCTCCCGTGGAAAGTAGCCTTTGGCTATTGTGGCTGCAGCGCAGGAGCTGACTGACCAGCTACCACGATCGCCCGCTCCAAAAATGAGTGTCTTCCTGGTGAGGCTGACATCGACCGAGTGCTCGCTCAGCATGAGGAGCCGTGCCGAGTGCTTCCCGTGTGCCGTTAAGATTATCACCCTCACGTCCATGGTACCTGCTCTGCCGGGAACTCTTGGTCCCCAGATATCGGCAAGCCGCTCCCCTTCCTTCCTTCCTTCCTTCCGGATTTCTGCTCACGTGCCAACCCCGGTCGTCCTACCTAAATCAGCAGCCCCCCAACCTTACTTCACGTCGCCTACCAGTGTCTCATAAGATACACTTTTATTCGTTTGTCTATTTATTTTCTATTCCCTCCTCCTTTCTGTCTCCCCGAGGGGACAGGAGCTTTGCGTTTTTGTGTCTCGCTCTCCCAGACGCTCGGCGAGTCTGTGAGGTGAATGCCCGAGTCGTGAACGTTTAACAAGTAGGTGGTCTCAGGGGTCCATGGGGGACCCGTCAGCATGGCAGGGGTGCGTTGCGATCCAGTCTGGGGGCCATGGGCACGGAAAGATAAAAAGCGCACAGACGCTGTCAAGAACTTGTCAAGGGTACATTTATTAGCTCTCGCTCTGCTCGGGGGCCTGGCTGGGGAAAGCGCCTCGGAGCGCGCTACTCTTTGTGGATGTTAACGTGGGCGGTCTTCAGCACCTGGGCCACCAGGGACGCGAACTCATTAAAGTTGACCTGCCCATCTCGATCAGCATCCAGCTCCTGGAATATCTTGTCAACGGTGGGTTGATCTTTGGTGTTCTAGGGGAGGGGGCAGCAGAGACAGCGAGCTCAGACTCTCCCCGCCCCCCTTCTCCAGGCCCCTCGTCCCTCGAGGCTCAGCGGAGGGAGGCCCAGGAATATTGATCCAGTAGCCAAAACGGCTGTTGGAGAATCAAGTGCGACGGAGCAGAAAACTGAGAGAAGCGCCGTGGAGCCGCCCTGGAGTCCCCCACGCCTCGGCCGGCCGGGCGGAGATGCTCTGTAGCAGGTAACCCGACCCCCTCCCCGCCCCGCCTGCCTGTCTCCACTGAGGCCTGAAACAGCTCCAGCCGGAGATGACAGGGCAAGTCACTGAGAGAGAGGAATGGGGCCCGCCCAACCGCAAGGGGAGAACAGCCTCCGGTGCTGGACCTGGAGCCGAACCCGCCCTCGTCCCTCCATCGCCCCGCAGGCCTGGCCAGTGCCCCCGACTGCGCTGGCCTACCTTGATCGTGGTGGCGAGCTCCTTTGTGATCAGCTGCTTCAGCTCCCCCTTGGAGAGGGTGTCAAAGTTTCCCACCCGGACCGAGTACTGGTGGAAGATGTTGATGATGCCCTCCAGGTATTCCTCCAGCTTGGTCATCTTCCCGGTGTGCGTTAACCTTCGCTGCGGGGACACGAGGGAGGTCTAAGGCACCCTCCCCCACCGCGCTCGCCTCTCTTTCTGCCTCAAAGCCTGCAGGAGGGGGGACTCCCCGACGGCGGCTTTGTGACCCCTCTGCTCCGTGTCCGATCCATGGGCAACGCCTCGTTGGCGGATTGGACGGGAGAGGAAGTTCCTCTAAGGTTCGAGAGGATCAGGCTCGAGGCCAGTGTTCTGTGTCCGCACGTCTCCTGGGCAATGCGGCCCAGAGTGCGTTGCTCACTCAGGCTCGCCTGGGAAGGGGTCTGTGATTGCCCGGAAGGCCGTCCCCTGGCCACGGTTCCCCTACAGACACTCATCAGCCCCCCCCGACCTTCACCCTCCCCGAGTCCGGAGGCTAGGTCTACGTAACCCAGCGAGAACTGGTCTCCTTGGGTCGAAAATGCAGCCGGCCCTTCGCGTCGTAAGGCGCGTGAGTGTCTAATCACTACGTTGTACGCCTGAAGCTAATTTAATATTGTATGTCAACTGTAATCGAAAATTAAAATTGAAAATGTTTAAATGCAGTCAGCCCAGAGGAGTCCCAGCAAGCTGAGGGTTGTGGCTTCCAGCAGCCTGCATCGGGGCCACCTACAGCCAGCACCCTGGGTTCCCCCCGCTCCCCACGGGCTCGGCTGGAGAAGGGAATGCTTACCTGCAATGCACAGGTGTGGAGCTGTAGCAGGAAGTCAGCACTGGTGCCGGCCCCGGGCCCAGGAGGCTTTTATTAGGCGCTGCCGCCTTCCCCGAGTGAGGAAACCCTGATTCACCGTCTGAGGCAATCTCCGGACCGCGCTCTGTTCCGCTAAAGCAGCTCCAGCTCTGTGGCTTCGGCTGCAACCGCGGGAGCTGAGGTTGCGCCCATCGCCCATCGACCTCACTCAACCCCAGCCGCCCCCACCCACGCTCGGCCCGGGCGGGGACCAGCCTGCAGGTCCAGCTCTGGCCCCTGCTTCCTAATCCAGGGCTAGAGGGACAGGGCCACTGCCTGGGTGGCTCTGCCTGGAAAGAAGGGCAGGGAGAGGCGCTTGCTGCGCGTCTGTCACAGCAAAGATAATTATGGCAAAACCGCCAAGGGGAACGAACACGTAAGCCCGGGACAGGTGTGGAACCAGGGAAATCTGAACAAAGTGTGAGACTGAGTTAATAATCGGGCACCGAGAGTGGTCCCTGAATTGCGACGACGCGTGTCCCTCGCCAGCGTGAGGTGTTCCTAATCCGGGAACCGCATCCAGGAACCTTCCATGTTATCTCGATTTTTCTCTAATTCGAAAACCGTTCTGAAAAATAAAGCACGCGTTTTTTTTGGTGTTTGTTTTTTACGGCGAGGCGACCCTTGGTCGACCTCACAGATTGCAAGGACCTTGTCAGCTCACAAGCCCTTATTTTATTTATTTATTTATTTATTTATTTATTTATTTATTTATTTTTACGCCGACAGCACCTGGTCTTCCTCGGTGGTCTCCCATCCAAGTTCTGACCAGGCCCGACCCTGCTGAGTCTCCGAGATCAGACGGGATCCGGCGTGCTCGGGGTGGCACGGCCGTAGACGAAGTACGTGTTTTTAAAACCGAGCGTGCCCTGGGCCCTCGCAGCGTGCCGGACGCTGCTCTGCTCGCCCCTCGCCTGGGTCTCCGGCCGGCCCCACAGGCGACAGGCCGTCCGGCAAGGGAAGGGAGGGGTCCGGACAGAAGCATAATTTTTAGACATAGACAATCTTCTCTGGGGCCCTGATATTTTTCTCCCGGTTTTTTCTCAGATGCCGTCAATTCTTGACCGATCTTTTTAAAAAATTCTTTTATCTTTGAACCTCTTCCTTCCCCGGGAAGCGGGGCAGGGTCAGCTCAGGGCCCTGGGGCAAGCCCTTGACCTCTGCATCTGGGTGGTCCTCTTATTGGCCTCGTTTATGGCCTCGTTTAGCTCCCGGAGTTGCCATGAGACTCAGCCGTGACCCTTGGTGAGGCAGGGCTTGAAGACAGGCAAGCGTGAGGTTCAAACTTGTTTTTCTTTCTCCCTGACCCACGATTGTCACGAACGTACGACAGGAGTGCGAGTCACTGACGACGGGACGTGGGGGACACAGGGTCCGTGGGGGCTCTGCTCATCCTGCTCGAGTTTCCGCAAACCTGCAACTTCCTCTAAAAAATAATCCATGGCTTTATCTTAAAAAAATACTGCTGCGTCCAAAGTCACTACGGACAAATAGCGATAGCGTGCCACACAAGAGACAAACTTCTCTAGTAACTTTTGAGCCAAATCGATACAGATTGACTTTCGCGGCTCCCCGAATAAAGTCGTCAAAATACGGTGACAACAGCGGAGAACCTAGCTCATGAGAAAACATTTTAACTATTGAAAACATGAATCCGTTCTAACCCTTGGAACCCGACTGGAAATAGATGCGTGCTCTAAGGCGGGAGAGACGCCGTCACCTTCAGGAGACGGGCACTGGACGTGACCCTGGAACCATCCTGACGAGCACATCGAGGTGACTGCAAAGGGTCGCTGTGAATCCACCGTGAAGAAACGGTGGGTTCAGCCGGCAAATCGGAGTGAAGGGTCCGTGGAGATTCTTGTGCTATGCTTGCGGCTGTTCCGTAAGTTTGGAATTCTATCAAACTAAAGTACATCAAATTGAAATGACATCGAAATTAAAAGTCACCCTAAGACAGTACTACTCGTGGCTACCGTGTTACTCTGTTCATCACAGTCAAGACGTGGGGGTGGGGGGCACAGCAGAGTCGAAGGCAGGGCAGGGTGGCCAGATGGGGCGGGGCGGCAGCCCCCCAAAGCGGCTTCGCCCCCAGGTCAGCCCCGGTCTGCCCTTGTAGGGGCACCCTCTCTAAAGCCCGCCTCCCCAGGCAAACGAGGACACAGGAAACAAAGGTGACATGGCTTGGAAGGCTGGGAGAGTCTGGGCCGGAGGTGGGGACGGAGCCTGGGACCGGCCCTGGCCTCTGAGTCGTGATGGGGGAGGGGGGCCCATGTGGGTTCTCCTCTCCCTCCCCCCAACCCCCACCCCAGGCACACGCCTCCCAGCCCTGTATTTGCCAACCGCTGCTGGGGAGGCCACCGTGACCAGGACAGACACTGTCCTGCCCCCGCCGAGCTTACAGTCTGGGGAGGGTCCGTCTGAAGAGGCGCCTGGCGAGGCGGGGGCGGGGGAGGTGGCAGGGCAAGGGACCCGCAGGCCTGGCTTCTTGTTTCAACTAAGTACATATAGGCTTCACCCTCAGTTCTAGAAAGAGCTACCAAGGTGGATGAGGGTGATCACAACGAAGGCGCCAAGGCGGGAAGCGGTGATCGAGGCCTCCGCGATGAAACCTGTTCGAGTCTAGCCCGGTGACCTCCGTCCAATCCCACAGACCGCCGCCCCCATGCTTTGGTTTGGTCAGCCCAGTTACCATGGCAACTTGGTCTGAAAGCAGCGGGGCCCCCCCGTCCCCCGCGGGCACCCCTGAGGCCTGGACGGGACCAGACCGCCCTGCAGCCCTCACACGGCACAGACGGGCTTCAGAGGCCACGCCTCCAGCCACGGGAGGCAGCCGTCCCCTCGCGTGGAAGCCCAGCAGACCCCAGCCACGGAGCAAGGAAGCCCGGGGTGATCCGGCAGTTCAGGGGTGGGGAGGCCGCGGGAGGAGGAGCTGGGCAGGTAGGTGCATGAGCGACGGGCAGGGGAAACGAGACGGTGAGGTGGGGTTCCACCCCGAGCCCGTGAATCATGTCCCGACGGGATTCCGGGTTCCATGCCGCTTGCGCAGCACCGTGGCCGCTCTGTTCCCCCAGATCGGACGACGGGGTGGGACGAGGCTGAGCTCACCCGGGCAATCGGGTCTGGCGAAGGCGGTCCAGGACGCCGCTTCCTCTTCCTCTCTCAGTGAAAACACCTGTTTCTTCCCAGCTTCGTCGAGGTGTAATTGATATACAGAAAGTGCCCGGTCGGAAGAGTGTGGACACATGCGACCCGTGTCCCGCCTCTGCCGTCATCAGCACGGCCGCCACCTCCAGAGCTGCCCACGTCCCTCTGCTCCGCTCGTTCCTCTGTGGTGAGAACACTTCGCGTGACATCAACCCCCTCTGAGCAGCGTCTAAGTGCACAATCCTGGCAAACCCCAGGCGCCATGAGGACCAGCAGGTGTCCAGAACTTACTCATCTGTATAACTGTCACTTTACACACACTAAACAGTCATGGTCACAAGACAAGTCTTGAAACAAACCTATACGTAGCACGTAAGTTTATCATGAGATGAAATAAAACCATAAATAAAACCTGTGCATTTACAGATGTCTTCAGGCTCCTGGACAGACACCAGGTGGCTGGCAAATACCCCAGAGAGCGGAGAAGGAAAATAAGGAACGTTTTATTGGCTGGAGGAGGTAATCGTCCGAGGGCCCCAGGCGAGCCTGCCAAGCGCTTCGAGAATGATGTCCTAGCATCTCTCCCTCAGTCTCTGAGTCTCTGAAGACACTGACCCCCTTCCAGGAGAAGGAGAGGCTGGCCCACAGCGCCCGGGTGCACGGGGCTGGGAGCGAGGCCACCTGTGGCTCCGAGCCAACCTTCGGGGGGGCAGCAGGGCCGGTGAGGTGTCTGACAGGAGATGACGTGCCGGCCTCCGGGCAGCAGATGTTCCAGAGAGGCCTGGGAACTTGGCAGGAAAGCATGTGAGCAGCAGGCATCTGAGAAGGGAGGGCAACGCCCCGCGGGGCCTCCACGGTGCGTGCGGGGAGCACGTCCACCACCGTGGGGTGGGGAGGAAGCCAGGCCCTGCGTGCCCAGAGCTGTGAAGAGCTCTGTGGCCCCAGAGGATTCCTAGGAACTTGGAGAGACGGCCAGTGCTGCCAGGTCCTGCGCCCCAGAGCCCCCCGGAGAAGCGGCCAGAGCCCAAGGGAGCGTGGGGCAGGCCCGGCCAGGCTGCGGCGCCGTCACACAGGGGCCTGCGCTCAGGGATTCCGGCTTCACGCGGTCACTGAGGCCAGCTCCAGCAGGGGAGGGGACGGCTCTCGTCCAAAGCGCGAGGGACACAGCGTGCCTGAGAAGGAGGCTAAGGGCCCAGGCGCCAGGCCGGGAACCGCCAGCGCCTCGTCCAGCGGGACCTGCTGACGCTCCGAAGGTCCAGGAGGGGCTGCTTCTGAGACAGCCCTGAGGGTCTTGAAACGATGGGAATGGCCACCCTTTCGCTCCACCCGTGGGACAGACGGCCACTTTGCCGTGACCGAGCCCATCCCGTGAGCGAGCCCATCCCGTGAGCCTGCCTTTACATCCCCGAGAGCCAGGCTGGTGAGCACAGGAGGGGCGGGCACCCAGAGGGGAGTCGGCCTGCACCCTACCTCAGAGGACGAGGACAGCAAGTCAGCTTCCCCAGCAGGCAAGCAGGGCCCCCACCCCAGCCTGCGGGACCCCAGAACTGGGGAAGCCCGTGACCCGGCAGGCGAGCGCCCCATGGGTGAAGACGTGGTCTGGGGGTCCGCCCACACTGTGCCTAGATCTAAGTGACCGCTCCACTGGCTCGGAGCCTGAAATGAGCTGTTCAGCCCCAGGCCCAGCAGAGACTCCACTGGAGCCAGGGGCAGGCGCCCAGCTCCGACGGTGGGCACCCAGTTTTGTGGGCCCGCGGGAGTGATCACCACACCACGGGCTCCCGGTGCCCCAGGATGAACCCCCTGCCCCTTGCAGTGAGCTGCTTTCCAGTACGACACCATGACTCGCTCTCACAGGACGGATTTTGGAAAAAGCTGACTCTCCTCAGAAAGGCAAAACACTTTAATTGGGTGACTAGTGTGGTATGTGTACTTTATCTCAATAAAACTGTTGAGTTTTGTTTTTTTTTTCTAAAAAGGACTGCAGAGACTTTGGGGGGCCAGGAGGGCTTATAACAGAGACCGCCCCACCCCCTGCACACACACAGTGGCACCCCCCACACACATACACACACAGTGGCAGATACAAAGAGCCGCTCGGCCAGCAGGAACGGCACCCTTGGTGACAGGACTGCCACACGTGTTTCAGAGCTGGCAGCGCTATTTTGCTCTGCTGGGCAACGGCATCGAGACGCCTGACCTCTGACCCCCGTGCGCAGGTAGCCGGGGCGCTGCTGACCCACAGGGGGACAAGAATCTCCCGGAGACAGGGGCCGAGAGAGCCGCCCCGTCCACACCCACAGGCAGGGGAAAGGTCCTGAAGTCACTTACGTGACCAAGAAGCCACAGGAACGTGAGAGCTGCCGACGGAAGCCCCTCTGCCCCTCGCCTTCCCGGTGCTTTGGACACATGCACAGGAGCGGACACGCTCCCCGGGGGACACCAGTGCCCGGTGGACCTGCGCCATCTGCAGACATGAGATGCCTGGTCTTCAGCACCAGCTCCTAGAGCAAATAGAAGCAACCGGAAAAGAGGCTGCTGCTGGCTGCGCCCCCCGTCCCCTCACCCCCATTCACAAGAGCAGAACGGATCCCCAGACCCCCCGCCCCCCTCCTGTCCGAGCCCTCGGCCGGACACCAGGGTTCCCCCTGGTAGGGGCTGTGGAGACGAGAAACCAACGGGGCAAACAAAACGCGCGTGGCTGTGGCGGCCGACGACGCGGCTGCTGCATTCGGGGCTCCTCGGAAGACACCCGGCCGTCTCACGGGTCCGTCGATGCCCCTGGAACTGGACTCACTCGCTGCTTTTTGCGACGGTAGCTGTGACCGTATGGGAAGTTTGGTTTGTGGGGCCAGATGAGATGTCGACTGTCAAACATCAGCGCTGGGACGAGCCGTGTCTCAAGCGCCTTGGACGGTGGAACATCCCGGAGGAGACGGAGGCAGGTAAAGCGCTTTCCGAATCTGTCACCGACTCCGTTCTCCGCGAGACCCAGAATTCATGACGGAAGAGAGAAGTACATCAAAAATGACCTTCGCGGCCCCTGCCTCAGCGCGTGAATCCCTACATTTCTGAGCCTTTTCCTGGAGGGGGGGACGCGGAGTGGCCGATGTCTCCGAGTCCTTGAGCGTGGCCCCTCTATCCTGCCGCGAGCTGGGCTGTCCCAGAGGCGGGAGTGGGAAAGGCCCCTCGGCCACCAGAGCAAACCCAGGGCTACCGGCCAGCGATCCGAATAGCTTCACGGGAAGAACCGAGCCCCTCACGACTTGGCCGGGGCACAGTCCCAAAAATTCTGCAAGAGGAACCGTAACTCAGCAGGAGAGACAAAGGGGGTGACGGAGCGCAGAGACAGGGCGGCTTCCGTCCGCGAGAGCGGGGCGGGCTGCCGGAGGTCCGCGCCCCTGCCCCGAGCGGCCGGTTCCCGCCGCGCTTTTGCAAATCGGGGAATGGTTCTCGAGGGTCCTTCTACGGCCCCTCAGGATGGAGTGAAGTCTCCCCAACCTGGGAGGGGCCGGGAGTTGTTCCCGGAACACCTAAGAGTTTAGGGAAATCAAAATGCCAAGCCTCCTGCTCTATTGTCTGGAGGATTGCTCACACCAGGAAAAAAATCCCGCAGGAGCCCGGGCTCTGGGGCCCGCCCGGCCTAGTGAGCCTGGGCAGAGGGGAGCCCGGGGCAGGTTCGTTCGACAGAACCCGGCGTGAGCACAAACACTTAAGCCATGGCCGTTTTGTCTTTCTCCCGGCTTGAGATGGCTTTTTTCCTTTGGCAATGACACCCCACGGGGGCCCGGTTAGTGCCTGGGGCGTCCCCTGCCTTCTTTGGCCCATTTGAAGCTGGGCTGGGTCCCCCAGGAGGCCAGAAGCGAGGCTGGGGTCTGGCTCCCAAGCAGGGCGATGGCTGGGGAAGTCCTTCCCATTGGAATAAGCTGTCTGCTCAGCTGCTGGGCGTAACCGCCCAACTCCAGGTCTCTCTGTGGCCTTTAGGGTCTTTGTCACAGCCATGAGGAGCCAGGCTGAAGCCAGGATCCCGGGCGGAGAGCCTGGCTGGAGAGGCAGGTTTCAGCGGGTCACCCTCCGGAAATCTCAGCAGGCCGATCTGCCTGGGCTGGGGAGCCTCTTCCGTGGGCCGGGGTTGCATGGGGGTTGCATGGGGGTTGCATGGGGGTTGCATGGGGGTTGCATGGGGCTTCCTGCCCAGCTGCTTATTTCTCAACTTCCCCTGCCCTGTTCTTCCATAGCTGGGGAAACAGGAAACCACATCACCTTGGTCTGGGCTGCAAGCCGCGTCTGCCTCTGCTCACTGGTTCCTGTCACACGCACAGTCTTGTATCACGATCCCCGGCCGCCCCCTTCGTGGACCTGCCAGTGACACCCCCGTCACCCCTACTTCCCTCTCCCGGGAACCAGGGCCGGTAGGGCCACCGCCCCCACCGAGCCATGAGCGCGGTGCCAACTGCTGCTGGCTCAGCCCCAATGCGATTCTTCTCAGCCAGTGCCCATCATTGTGGGGCAACTGCGAGAGCATGCTGGGCCATGCCCCCCACG